CGCAAAGGGAGCGGACCAGCTAGCAGGGAGTTCTGGAGCCTCCGTCCCGAGACGTCAGGCGGTGGCAGGTTAGGGAGGCAGCCCAGAGTGTCCCCGTGCAGATGCCGAGGGGGCTGACGATCGATCAGGGTTCCCTTATGTGCTGCTCTGGCTCTTCCCTTGTAGTACATCACCAAGGTGGTGGAGGCTGATTCTCCACAGACATTGCAAGCTTTGGCCAAAGCGGAAGAGCAGAACAGGGTCCTGATGCAGCAGCTCTCCTGCCAGGCGCAGCGGTGCCAACGGCTAGCAGAGCAGCTTCAGGGCTCTGAGGGGGCTGCGGTTGCCCTCCGGCACAAGGTAAGCTGTGCGAGGCTTGGATCTGCTCCCCTGAACATCTGAAAAACCTCCCTAACAGTAAGAGCGGGTGGTGCCCTCCCCTTCCTTGGAGGGGCCCAAGCAGGAACGGGATGGCCAGCCCCCGGGGTACTTCAGTGCGCATCTTGGCCCTGAGCAGGGGGTGTGCTGGGTGGCCTCAGTGGACATTTCCAGCTCCAGCCTGGGAGCTTCTTCTGGCCCTCTGTCCCAGCCAGCCAATCTCCTTGCACCTTGGAGGGGTGCAAAAAGGGCACCCAATATCCTGGCAGTCATCCAGGCGCGGAAATTGGGTGGAAGAGAAGTTTAAGGGTGAAGGAGTTGCGTCCCGGAGTGGCCTAACACCGTGAAGCGTGTGACAATTTGTGAAGGGAACTGATTGGGGAGCATAAGCCTGGCAGCTTTTGGCTCGGAGGATGATGTTTTAGAAGGGAGGGCTTGGGGGGGTCAGCAGCAGTCTTAAAGGCCTGCCCCCGGGAGGGTCCTAACCTCAGAAACCTGGTCTGGATGTAGAAGTTATGGTGAATGGTCCTGGCTGGGGGGGAGAAGAGGAGAGACACTGGCAGGCAAGAAAGATGGTTCGGAGGAACTTTATCAAGGGGGTGTCAGGCTATAGGGAGTTCAAAGCAAATTGGGGCCCTCTGTGTGTGTTCAGGCCACAAGTCCCAGAATTTGGCAGCCATCTAATTTGGAAACATGGGAGTTGTAGTTCAGCACCTTTGGCAAGCCGGTGTGGGAAAGGAGGCTTAACAGAACTGAGAGGGACAGAGAGGGGAGCGGTCATTGGGTGTCATGGGCATCACTACTTCATTGCACAAATATTGGGAACTGCAGCATTGGCATGGTGGCATCAGGATGTGCAAGGCGTCGTTGTGGCTTCCTCTGGAGAAGGGCCTTGGGCTGGCGAAAGGCCAGAGAAGCCCTGCCGGGTGACTTTGGAGCAAAGCGAGGGCAAGGGCAGGAGGGGCAGGGACACCCGGCGATTGAGAGCACGGGGGGGGCCGAGGGGAGTCTGCCCCAGAGGCTGGCAGCTCCCCTTAGAGGCAAAGGCCATTGGTTCTGCTGCTAGGGTGAGAGAGAACCGCTGCTGGGTGGCCCCTGCGCCAGAGCCCCACACCAGACCGCCTCAAGCGGAACGGCAGGCAGGCAGGGGGC